ATTACACAAATCTTAATTTTTTAAATTACCTATATGATTGTAGATTTATTAGTTACTAGAATACTGTCTTTCTAAGCAAGACAAAATTTAGATTTCGTCAATATCGGTTTATCCGTGATGTGATATCCGGGGTGTGACAATTCAGTACTTTTCCATGATTGACATTGGAGCAGGGGCATAGAGAAAGTAAAATAAGTTAGTTATTTTACTCATCCTTTACCTATAATTTTACTTACTCTATGAGCAGGGGACAACTGCTGCTTGTATTTATCTATGTTTATCTCTGGTTACGTACATTACATGTTTTTCGAAAACTTGAGAATATTGATCGATTAATATGGTTTTTTAAATCGATCGATGCGAAAAATAAATATGAGTCAAAATATAAAAACCGTGCTTGTGCCTCAGTGTTATGATTTGTCTTCAAGACGGAAATTACGATATAATTATACCTTAAAACCCCGCAAACATGTAAAGGTATGTTGGTGTTTAAATTAAATACAGTTGATTATTTTATTATTTCTTGTTCTGAACATACAAGTGATACCGCTGTTCTGGACTTGAAGCATTGAAGACGCTAGGGATCACGTGAGAAAACCACACACGAAAAATTTTCGCTTAAGAGACAAGTAAGGTTGTCTGAATCTATTTATTCGTCTATTAATGTAAAACTATTATCTGTATTTTTTTATTTTTACCAGTTTAATTTTGGTTGATTTCTATTTTGCGATAAGCATGTTTTCTTGGATCGAAGGAAAGCAACAAAAGTAAAATGAAAGTAATGTAGCAATGCAAATTGTTATACCTAACTGTATTTGTACACAATAGAATAATCTGTGGATGAACGAAAATACTCTTCTATCAATGTAAAACTATTAACTGTATTTTGTTGTTGTGACCAATATTAAAATTTGTAATTGCTTATAGAATTTTTGTTAAGAGCACATTGCGAAACACTTTAATTGTTCGAGAACAAAATGAAAGGGCAAAAGCCACAGAGCGGGAACATGTAAGGAATATAAAATAATAAGTGCAGTTTTTTAGATAAAGGTTTGTGTTTTATCTCACAGTCACACATCATTGCGACAACGGCAAAAATGCTGAAAATGTTAATTTAGATTTTTAGTCCGTAGTTATAAGTTATATTTTAATTAATTTATTACTCATTTAATTAGTTTTAGATTAGTTGCAAGTAACTCTTGTTGTTGAAAAATTACATCAGTAAATACTTAAATATGTGAATAAACTAATAAGAGGAAATAAAGTATCGTTTTCTTTCTTTACATATATGTATGTATATTCCCTGAACATACCATATACATTCACTGAACATGCACATGTACATTCACTGAACATACCATGTACATTCACAGAACATACCATGAACATTCAGTGTATTAACTCTGACAGATTCCTGGAACATACATGGAATGTTCATAATGTAACTCATGTATGTCCCAGGAATATGCATGTACATCACTTGAATGTTCCAGGTATATTCTGGGAATATCATTTTGCTATGTGGGAACTACGTGACTTCTGTTCACGTTAATGTTCTATTGTAGATCTTATTCTGCTTATCTTCTATAAATCTCACCACCTATGGCAACGATTTTCCTAATTCGTCCGGACTCAATTTTTTTTTCGACCTCTAAAAAAAATTTAAAAATCTGTATAATTTTTTTTAGCTTAAACAAAATACATCTACAATACGTCACCATAAAGAACCAAACGCGATAAATGAGTATCAACATATGCTCAATTCGTAACAAAAACGCCATAAATATATTATTATTATGTTATATCATGTTATTATTATACTTAAGTAATATATATACTTAAGAGTATACTTAAGTAATTACATGACCAAACGCGCCGCGGCAAATTAAGCTCAAAAATTGCACACTCTTACTAAATGCCACTCTACAACTAATACCGACCGAAATATGGTCTGTTCGATATAGGAATGAAGGGACAAATGTATCGGGAACGAATACCTGGAAGAACGACGGCGTCAGTTTTAATGCATAGTATTTATAACAAAAAATCTAAAAAATGCGGCATTTTGACGCGGGCGCGCTCGCTGGGGGGTTGAAAAAGATTATAACATGAGTATGAATATAATTCAATTTATTGTCAATAAATCAGGCTTATTTTGTGACCAGTGACCACAGCTTTTCGCCGACTTTTTGACAGATGTGTGCAAAGTTTATCCAGCCCGGAAGACATTCCGCTCCTTTTGTAGAACGGAAGTATCCTATATCACCCTCGACTTCCGATTCGTTTATAACAACTCCGTCGGAGATACAATGGTGTCTTAGAGAAGTCTCACTAGCCGACAAACCCCCAGGGCCAGACGGCATCTATTATATATTTGCTCCTTAAAAATGTTCTTCGGAGGAAAACTATTGCGCTATATACTGCAAATAGCCAACGCATTTGCTCCTTAAATTGCAGCATTTCCCAAGGGTCGCGTGAAGCCGGCAAAATACCGACTGATCCCGTCTCTTATGGTCCAATTGCCCTCCTGAACTTCCTCGGCAAATTAACCGAGAAGGTTATCCTAACAAGACTAAATAGGCAGCAACTGAGCTTCGGGTGAGCAAATTTCACACAAGTTAGAGCAAACGATCGCCCTACCCACGGCCCCCTGTATAAGCGACTTCCCATATTTTATGAGGATTTTGATCCAGACAATACGTGACGACAAACCAACACTTCCTGCAAACGCAGGCCTAATCGTTTTTAGCAGGCTAGAAATGCATAAATCCACGTGCGCCGGTCTTTGCACCAATGGGACTGGGGAGGCGTGGCCTTGGCTTCAGACTGCCGGCGGCTTACGTCACGGCTTACTTGTCTGTATCTATGCGGCTGACATTCTTCGGATTAAAGGTCGAAGCAATTGAAGTTTTTGGCTTTCCTTCAGTAGACGTTGTTTTTTTCTTATTGAATGCCCCTCAAATAAAACTAAACCCGCCACTTCAAGATTGATGGAGACTCTTCTTGTCCATGTGCCAGATGTAACTTTGTTTGTGCTTATACAATGTACATGTTTAATAATTTTTTAGGTGATAACTTTTTATGGCACAGTGTAAACCCAATGAAATGCGTTACGGCGTCGTTATACCTGGCATAGATAAAGACAAGTAGGCAGTTTTCGCTCGCTCGCACGCAGTATCTTGCAAACTTTTACTCTCCATAGGCTAGTCGTGTGTATACAGGGTGTCCCGTAAGCTCATGATCAAAAGGGTGCTGCGATATTCTTTGGACCAAAAGAAGACGATCTAACTGACTACACTGACCTAACTTTTATTAACAAGAAATGTCAAGGTCAAAGTTCTTCAAAAAAATTATCTTTTTCGATATATCGGGAGAATGGTATGATGTAATTTAGTGAAACTCGCTGTGAATTTGTTCTTATGTAACACTCATATTTTGATTAAGCAATCGAGTTCAGCCGTTTTGGACAAGTGGTGAATTTTTGGTGGATGGAATCAATTAATTTTTTTTTGGTTGATACACTAATCATTTATTCACATTTTTGTGCTGTTTACATGTCTTGTAGCATTCATAGTTTTTGCGCAAAAAAACATGTTTTCTTGCCGCTTAAGAATGTTAGCCACTCACATATCAACCGAATTTCTGATATTGTAAAATCTTGTAGCATTCAAGTCACTTCTACATTAGAAAGGGTCATTCAAAACGAATTTGTGAGATTGATTGACAATGATTTTATGCCTCGTATGACGATATTTGCAGTTAATGTCTAACATTGTGAAGTGGCAAGAAAACTGAAATATTTTTTTCGCAAAAACGATGAATGCTACAAGATTTTACAAAGAGCACAAAATTGTGATTAAATGATTAGCGCATCAACCTAAAAAAATGAGTTGATTTCATCCTCCAACTAAAGGGTTCTGGTAGTTTTTGTACCACGACACTCAAGAATTCACCACTTGTCCAAAACGGATGAACTCGATTGCTTCATCAAAATATGAGTCTTACATAAGAACAAATTCACAGCGAGTTTCACTAAAATACATCGTACCATTCTCCCGACATTTCAAAAAAGATAAATATTTTGAGGAACGTTGACCATCAATAGCAGAAGAGTCAGACATTTTTTGTTAATAAAAGTGAGGTCAGATGGAATTATTTTGGTCCAAAGAATATCGCAGTACCCTTTTGATCATGAGCTTACGGGACACCCTGTATAGTAGTGGGTAGTCTGTGGACTGATCGTGTGTATATAAAAGTGTGTAGTCTATGGGGAGTTGTCCTTGGGATGCGTTTTCGTCAGCTCGTCCACTAGATACAAAATTATTCGGAAGAACAATTGAGATATGCAAACTATTCGAAACAATATCGACATACTGAGTTGCAAAACTAATAATATACAGGGTCATTCAAAATTGGTTTCGTTTGTTTTAAGGGGCTATAGGGGTTCACTACTAAAAGATATTAACAGTTGAAGATCGAAATTTAAATTTGATATTAAGAATTATTTTGAAAAGGTCCCATCCTTGATTGCTAGCCTTTTGGACTACTTAACCGTTCGAAAAGAAAAATTACGATCTTTGCTTGCTGCGAAATAATTTAAGTATAAATAAACATTTCATATGAATATGACTTATCTGATGCGGGTTAGCTGTTATGTTAAATTGGCGTTTGAAATAAATAGATACGACGTGTTTTTAAATTCTAGCGAAATGATCTATTTACGCCAGTTTTCTATATCTATGGAAATTTCTTAATTATATTTGGAAATACCATTCATTTCCTAATAAAACTGAAACCCATTACGGTATCTAATGGGCAAATTTTTGTTAAATATATTCACAGAATGCTATGCCAATTATTAACTATATCAGGGCATCAGGGTGGGTTAACAATATTTATATAAAGAGGAAGCAGGTAATCGAGATCAATATTGTAAAGTGTTTTCATGCAAGAACAGAATAACTGTTATGAAAATGAAACAATTTTTTGCGATTTTGGTAAGATATTTTTTCTATTTTGCTTAGTTTTTTACATATAAAATATTAAAATATAACAGTCTTACATACTAAATATATAACAGTTTTTATCTGAAGTTGCAAAATTAATGAACATATTTTGTAGATCTACGCCATAATTTATGTTATTTAATATAATTAACTGTATTTTGCATATTATCGTTTGGTCATCTCCATTCTTTTAGTTAGATTAGGTACATGTTTTAAATTACCTACTAATTTAGCAAGAGTAATACTGGAATTACAAATGGTTTTAAATCAATAAAACTAATTTACTTGCTTTAGCTCTTGGTTCCATTTTCAACAGGAGAAGATATTACTGAAGTTGATATAGTCACTTCAACACAGCCTCCTACCTCAATCACAGAAAATGAAAATGTTCCACCAGCCATAAACTCAGTAGTAAACGACTATCCCACAAACTATCAACCATCAGTACCCAATTTTGGTTTCGGAAACTCGCCACCATACATTTTACATAATCTTCTTTCGCAAGTTTTTAGGCCCACAAAAAACACCGGTAAAACATACGGGCCTAATGTGATTGCAATTATCGGCGATAAGCCGTATATTTCGATGGAAATTTTCCATAAATTTGCTCCATTTAGATGGCTGATGCACGCTTTTCAGGTAATATCTAGATTTCTTTTTTAATTTGAGTTTTTTGAATTATTTCAAGTCCGTTAATAGTCATGTGCGTACCTTATGCTCTAAAATGTAAAAACACATATTTTATTTTGGTATTTATTCGACTATTAATTATGTTATGTTAGTAGCTACTTTATCCCATTTCAATATTTTACCACTATAAAAATTCTAGAACAGTTGCGCAAGTATTTTAAATATTTGCTCCTAACAAATCTAATAAAGTTTTCCTAATTTATAATGGGATGCTAAAAAGTGACATTCAAGCACGATTTCTGGTAAAACCTTCGCCGTTCCTGAACACAGACATTTACGTACTACAGCAAATTTAATTTCTAAAAAAATTTGCATACAACGCTAAAGCTGTTAGGAATTTACATCAGGCTAGAAGCAAAATGTTTTTGTTTTTTATTTGGTCTGATCTATACCTACGTAACGCGCGATTCTTTCGATTTAAAAAGCGCCAAAATGTTCCACACTAAATTAGCTGTTTTCATTATTATATATTGTTTATCACAGGGTAAAATTCAGAACATTTGTGGTTTTTTGGCACCCCCAATCGGGGATGATGAATTCTCATTTTCAAATCCTCAAAATAATCCGCCACTAGTTCTGGGGGACGAACAAACCCCTGTACATGGTAAGTAAATTGCATTTAAGAATAGTAAAGTAAGTAAAATAACGTAACTATTTTTTTTTTCGATTTTTCTACTTGATTTAGTACGAATGTAAGTTTTCCTTTTTAAGGAGCGAAACCGGACATATCCAGACCAGTGAGGATCTATAATGTACCTATTGGATTTCGAAGGAAGATATGACAAAATATGAATGGAAAAGGCAAATATGTATACTTTTCAGGTGTTTGAATAAAACTGTTAGAAATTTCATACATTTCCTTTAGACCCTAAACTTCGCTGTCCTAAAATACATTACTCATTCGTCTCAGTTGCTGCATAAAAGTTAGCCTGCTGCCAACATTAGCAGCTCTAAAACAAATAATTAGATGAATCGCTATAAAATTTTATGCTGAAGATGTGTAGAAACATTTGCGAAGATGTATAGGAACAGCCGTGGTCTATCGGAATTTCTTGCTACGTGTAGAAAGATGTGTAGAAAGTTATAATTAATCGTTAAAACGATATAGATATAGAAAACCTTGAGGTTTTCAAGCTCTGAAAAGATTTAGATCTCATTCGGAGAAATAACATAACATTTCTTACATTTGCACTTATGAGCTTAGTGATTGGTTTTTGACTTATGAAGCGCTCCATATGCAGATATCAAGTGTTTGAACTTAATACCATTATAAAGGAGATATTATCCGGACCGGTTTAAATGGGTCAATCGTTTCCAGTTCTGGAATAAGGTACGACCACACGACTATCTTTATTTCTTTTGGCGTTATCTGGGGGTTTGAAGAATTTAATGGCTTCCCTCATAACTCTGTGTTTCATCCAAAACATCTATTTCTTTGAATATACTTTGGTGGTCTTCGGCAAGCGGGTGGTCTATCGTAGCAGCTTTTTCCTCTGTTCCAATCTGTAGCTTCTGTTGCGCTCTGAATTATCATAAAAACGCTTATTTTGATTGTATCAACGCAGATTGAACCGCAAGCGCTTGAACTCATTGAGTCCCCAGATGATACTAGAGTATGATTTCCCTCCGTGGCTGATCTAAGGCTCCGCTTAATTGGCCTTTCCGAATTTAGGACGTTTTTTATTTTCTTCCAATCTTGCTTGTTATATGGTGTTATGTAAGGAAATCAAGGGAAGCCCCGACTCTTGGCTGTTCATTCTGGCATTCTGTGATGCATTTATCCTGAGTTTGAGAATTTAAGGTCTGAGTTAGCTTATTGGCGTGGCCAAACACTCTTTTCAAGTATCCAAGTTCCCCCGTAAGTTCACTGGGATGGTAAATCTGTTAGAAGCCGGTGCTTAGTTTTCTTAAATAGTAGTCTTCTGTATGTGGTAGAATCCAGTAACATTCCGATCTTCCTCTCATAGTCCTCCGCTATCATTACTACAATGGCATTTTCGTTGTCCCCTGATACGAGAAGGAATTTTTTCTTCGTTCAGAGTACAACATACGTTTATTAATTATTTGTTCAATAAATGCTGATACGCGGAAAACAAAATAAAACAGTTTATTAAATCCTTTATAGCTTTGGGCCTACTGCACAACTGTTTTTAATTTAATTGTCAGGATAATTATTTTCATTTATTACGCATCGGCACATTGAACTTCCCGGATTGAACATTGAAATCCCGGAAGCGAATTGCAACACTTAAAAATTCGACATTATAACCAAATGCATTAGCAATTGAAAAGGAAAATTTGCTTATATTATCTACTAGTTATTGAAAAGAATTGAATTTTCTCAGATAGTTTTTTATTATGGAATATTTTAAACATATCTATATGTTTACCTATTTTGATATACAGCGTTCCAAACTAGGCTACAGTATAATTACATGTACATATTATAACAATAAAATGAATTTATACATATATTTCAAATATTCTCTGAGATAACTAAAACGGAATTATTCGTACACAAAATTTGGCATCTCTAGTTATATGACCAGAAATATTATTCCACTCGGTCAACATTTTTTTAAGCGGCATTTGAAGTTGATTTAAAAAGTTTATATATTTAGTCGTAAGATATATTTTTTAATGTAACACTCTTGCATGTATGATATATTTGTATTATTTGTCGTTTCAACTAAAGTTGGCCTTACTATCCTCTTGTATAAAACTAGAAAGTTGCATTAAATAAATGCCAATTTTAAATGTGCGTTTTCTAGAGTACTAGAAAATTTGGATATATTGGCATTATTTTTATACAAAATTACGTTTTGCACTTTTTGATCCCATATAAATCGCATTTTTAAACGGTCTTATTTTGTGAAATAGGGCGATAACGGTTGGTAAATGTTCCTATAGATTTACTACTTTTGCGACTGTACTTACATTTTGTATTATTATATTTTAAACATTAATATTATATATGTACTCACTGATATACAAACCTGAATTAACTTAGTATCAGTAAAGCATACAAAATAACAACAAATTAAGCTTGTCTCAGGAAAGAGGTTTTTTAATTAAATTAGCTTAAAATAATATAAACGCTTAGAATACAATATCATTGGGTGAAGGAAAACGTGTAAAACCATGTGTAAAACCCTACTGAACATTAATGACTATAAGAATATTTATTCTTAATGGGGTCGGTAAGGTGTTATTAAAAAATGTTTAGATGATTGGTATTGGATACGGGTCGGAGTAGTGGTTTCTTCTTTCTGCAGCGCATTTGTATCAAATTTCCGAGGCATTCGTTGATTTAATGGGGTTTCGAAATTGTTCCTAAACAGTTGAACAATTTTTATTTCATGCATGCAGTTGTAAATTAATTTAATAAATAAGTTTGACAATTAGTATCTTTACTAGTTAGATTCAAGTCGACAACATACAATTACTTTCGTAAAATAGCGGAACCTGCTAATTTAGAGTAACATCTCGAAGCATTCGTAATGTTAAAATGGTTGGAACATTTCTTCTTTAACAGTCAGTAACTTAAATTTTGTGGTACAATTGAAAAACAATCTGGAAATATTTCCATCCATTTCCAAATGTGTCATCTTATTTTGTTTAGAGAGTCGTTCATAGTCACACCACGTTGCGTAGGTTTTGGAAAAAAACCATTTAAAAAACTTTTCTATACTTTTTTGCTTTCATTTCCAATTAATCATTATGTTGCTATAAATAACAAACATATTTTGAATAAAGCTGTAAATTAATAGTAGAGAAATTATGCAAATAAAAAAATGGTCCACAGTGAAACATGCTTTTTGGCTCAATAGCATTTCGTACTTGAATAAGAAGTTAAGAGTTTCGGTATTTGAGAAAATTAATTTTTTCTGTTACTTTCATTTTGCAATTATTTGGTTGTTTATAATTATCAAATGGTTTATTCATGATTAAATTGATAATTTAATGTTTCTTAATATTCTACATATACGTACCCTTGCATGCATGGGTCGCTGTCTGAAAAATTCGAACGTTGTTGACCAGCAGGCCTAAAATAATATAATTTAAAATAAACACTACCTTGTGTGTGTCCAAATGAAATTGTACATAATACTATATGCCACTTTTCTTGAAATTAACCAATTTATCCAATCTCGTAGGTACTTCTTTGTCACCAATTCAGAAAAATGTTGGGTTTTATATTATCAGAAATTCTCTCTGGAGTTTTTTTACATTCGACATTTTATTTGTTTCGTTAATTAATTGCATACGAAATAATTATTAAATATTAATTCCAGCAACATATGATGAAAATCTCAAATATTATGGACTGATATGAAAATGATAATATATATGATATTTTACCACAAACAAATCTGTCATCGCAAATTCAAAAACAACCAAAATGTTCCTGTGTCGTCTCATCAACTTTTTACATTAATTTTTGAAAATACAAACTTTAAAGCGTTTTGAATATCATATACTCACATAAAAATATTTAAACATAAAGCCAAAATTGCTCCGCCTGACATGGTAATTACCACCAAAACCAGTTTAACGATGACTATTAATTTTTGCTTCTTTCTTGGATCTGTTTGACCGACATTATGAGAATATGGGTTCCACCAGTTTGGAACATATCGAGGAACTTCACCATGTCCCAGCATATTTTTATATTTTTTCTATGATACTTTTTGTGACATAAATAAATTGTGACATAAATAAGTTGACAAAGCACCTGAATATTTACGGTTGAAAGTAAGTAAGATTAAACAGGGTGATTCAGGAGTAAATGGAAATGTGTAGGCAGTCAAAATGAGCAAAATAAACACATATGTTAAAGTCCTATTTGTATTTGCTTCAGAGATACTACGAATCGATCTTTAAAAATGTCTCGCTTTTTCTAAAATATCTGCATTTCTTATTTTAAATGTACTGTAAAATGATATTAACATTTAAACAGTTGAACATTCAAACTTTAAAATCTATATCAAGTGTAAAATACAATTTGACCAATTCATGTCAAATGTGTGAGAAATATTTCACGACAATTTAATAAATTACATTTAGGAATGTTTTCCGGG